GTTACATTTTAGTACACCGCAAATTCGCTTGAGCTTAAACTAACAAATGCCAGATTTCATTATAATTTCATTGAACTGAAGAAGGAAAGTAGAGTGTGTCAAATCTAAATAGCTAAGGTGATTCTTTTTGAAAACCTAATTATACCGTGAGAGCACACTAGGCGACCAAGTGAGCAGACACGCCAATCAGTTATGAACGTCACTATTCTTCCCACACATTCGTCTCACTCGCCTTCCCAATTTTAGAAGGTTTTATTTTGATTGCATGCTTAGTCTTGCCTTTCCTTATGCTGGTGGCGCCCTCTAATGTCTGCGAGTGCCTCAACTTATTAACGCCAGTCATGTTCACTTCTGTCATTCAAAGGCCACGGGGCATTTGATTGAGTCACATCAGGCCGCATGACTCTAGCGATTGATCGACCACCTCCAAATATCGATTTAATGTCAGTTTAAAAACATCACACCACAGTCGGCCGTGGAGGGAGGCTGGCGCTGCCGCACGGAGCAGAGCGGACAAAGGCAGTGTTCGCTGCCTGTTGGAACCAAATCAGAAAGTCCACTTCAATCGGTCTCACTCCTTCGTCCGCATGGTTTGGTTCCGGTCGGGAATCGGGAACCAGATTCCGGCATTGCTAGACTGGCGGGTGTCAGCGCAATGCTCCCAAGGGAATCTTCGTCCCAGTGTGGAGTCGAGACTGGCTGTGTGCGGCAATTATATGGACGCACCAATAAAAAGCGATGCTACCCCGTAAAGGAGAGAGAAAGAGTTCATATTTGGAGGAGACGCTTAGTGTGCAACTGTGGGGGAAGACGAAGAGAGGCCCACAACGAAAGATAGAGTGAAAGCAAAGTCGGTGTAATGGATCTCATTGAAGGTAGTCCGAAACCTCAAAGTGTTGCCGCTTCTTATTTTGAAGAGGATCAAATGTATCAGGGGTTGCGTATAATATATTAGCGTCGTAGTCACTCTACACTTGGATTGAAAATGCCCTTGCCAGCAATGCACTGACAGCCTCTCGTCTAGGGATAACGGAGTCTGCGACCCCCTTCCCGGACAAGATCAGACATCGGGCACTAGGAAGGCCATTTGGTACGGCACTGGTTTCACGTCTGAATTCCTACCCTTTTTTTCAACATATGTTGTTTTGTTTTCTACAAAATGGACTGATTTTCAGCTGTCTTCTCATCTTCTGATTTTTTTTTCATGTTACTAGGGAAGGCAATCTGTGGAATGTGTATAGATGAAGTATCTTGAGACGTTATTGTTCCGAGTTTGCGTTGGGCCTGCTTGTGAGCCACCGGGATTGTGGTTGTTGTGAACATGTCTACATTTGACCGGATTTTCGGTGAGGTTTGGTTCTGCGGCACCACTTTATCGATATCTTCTGGTTAGCTTACTAAAACTATATTACTTAGCATATATGACTTAGAAACTCGTTGAACTACGAAGGGAAAGAGAGCGCAATCAGAGCTCGAAGCACGCGCAGGGAAGTGAGTGAAGGTGGTGTGTACGCACTCTCCCCGCGACACAGCCACTGATTGGATTAAGAGGGTACGGAGGGCGCAATCGCAACTGGAAGGCCACGTAGGCAATCCCGTGGTAATTTATAGTGAACAGCCACTGTAGTGGAAGCGACAGGGTTCCACACTGTCGGAACAATTCCATTGGCACGCAAATAATTCGTTCTGTGAGTGCATCGATAGCTGCATGAGCGCCTCTTAAAATACTGCGAATGATCTCGTCAAGCGCCATCTGAGACAGTATATTGAGGAATTTTCGGCGAGATCTGTGAGTAGTTGGAACTTATCGGCCTATAGCTCGAAGTACTCTCGGATTTTTTCAATAAGATTGTGATATTAAAATGGGGTGTGTTCAAATTGAGAAGCGGTTATTATGACATCAAAGAATAAATTTCGCCGCCAACAGCTCGACCGTTGTTGCCGACGATGTTTACCACGTGCTCCACAACAATGTGAAGCAGGCACGGTGACTTGTGCGTGAGCTAGTTTATAGAGACTACGGACTTTCGCTGCATCTACCTCACTCTCCCCCTCCTCCCTCAGCTGCGCTCGGTGTCAAGGCAGAGTCAAGAAGACTGAAAGCATGGGGGGGGGGGTGTAGGCGGATGGTGCGGTCCAGACAGTAACCTGACGCTCCACTCCACACTTCCTTGCCCACACAAGGAATGACTAGAATTTTGAAGAACAACAAAATGTGTTCGCGGCCGGAGCCGCACCTCGGCCTGCCGTCCACACACGGCTCGGA